CTTGCTTGAGCTTTGAGGATGAAGCTCTTCTTCTTGAGAAATGAACAAGATACCTTGATCCCCTGTCCAGAACTAATGCTATGCACAAATGATAATGCAAAATGATATGAAATATAAGCCAAGATAATAAGAAAAGGGTGGGAAAATTTTGGGGTGCTACATGGAGTACCTTTTTTCAAGAGCCAACTATTGTCGTACACTCATATCCACCATATCTAAATGGGAATTCTTATTATCTTTATTATTCTTGGAATTTTTAGATATGTTCTTATTAAACTATCACACATTTTTTCTTCACATCCATCACATCAAGACATTGTCTTAAATCGAGGATAGACCAATAAGAAAGATCAAAGAACATTGATCTCATTTTCCAAATATTTATCTCAAAGGCACCATTTTTATTCTTTCTAAAGAAAATAATAAGGTGTTGTTGTTGATAAAATTCATCGCACAGGAAAGGTTTATGAGCGATTTCAAACTCTTGCTCTCTAGTAAAAGCCTTCTGGAATCTACGTTACGGATGATTAGGTTTTAGAAATTTCTGATGCCCAAGGTAAACAGTTTTTTTTTCAAACTCAAATTGGTTAAAACATGTATTATATTCACATATATGACACAATTTATGTCCTTTTACATTGTATCCCTTCAAATTACCGTATGTGGGATGTCACATCTCAAAAAATACGATCCTTCTCAAAGTGTTCATGCTCTCGCAGAAAATGATTGAATAGAGTCACCACTGAACTTTATTTATTCCAAAGAAGGAAAGGAAAAAATATCTATAAAACTCTTAAAATAAATTGAAGATGGTCGTTGCAACAATATTCGGGTTCGGGAGTCGATTACGCAAGGGAAAAGTATTAACACACCTCACGTCCATTGTACTCAATGGGAACCTCTTAGTTAAATTTGCGATTGAATGTTAGCTTACAGTAATAATTTTCTTCAAATGATAAAATGTGCAAAAAGGAAAAGAAAAGGGGTCGCAAAAAGGTTTTTATTTGAGTTCTTAACAAGATTGTGAGTTCCGCTCCTGGATATCCTCGGGTACAATGAGGAACTCAATGCTTCATTGTTTGGCGTTGAAACCTGGTTGGTTTGTTTCATTGAACAAGTGTTTAGATTTTGCTCTAACAGTTAAATGTTGGCCTGTATGCTCACGGGGGAGGCTCAAGCACTTGTTTGTATTTGTGTTAGAATGGATTAAAGAATGTTCTTTTTAAAAGGTTTTTGATTACACGGGGATGATAAAATATGTTTGATTGTATGTTTAAGGGTTCGAATACGAGTATTTATGACTTGCAAGCTATTATGGCTTGAGTTTAATACTCATGACTATTATTGGACATTACACCTAAGTATTCGTTTTAATCCAATTTGTTATGAAAGTGTTTGAAATATTTACAAGTGTTTTGAAGAAAAGACAAAAACTTGGGCTTGCAAGTTATTACAACTTAGGCCTAATATTTGAGACTATGATTGGACATTACACCCAAATAGTTGTTTTCTTTAAATTTATTATGAAAAGAAGACGCTTTTGAAGTTTGGTGAAAGACGAATAATTATGACTTGCAAGCTATTTATTTAATTGGAATTATTAAATAAATAAACAAATAAAACTAATAATAATAGAATAAAGAAAATCAGGGTTTTTGATATGATTGAAAATACTTTTTTTTATCAAATAATAATAATAATTGCTTATTTATTTAATTGGTATGGTTAAATAAAAAATATAATAGTAATAAATAAAAGTGTGGTGTAAATAAACGAAAGGGGATAACAAACTACAAAGATGCCCAAGGCCTAATGGTCCAACATAAAATACAAACAAACAAAAAAGCTATAATAAAAGAAAAAAGGGGAAGGTGTGAAAAGAAATGCCTAAGAGAGAAGGCCCACTAAGTGCATGTCAAAGGTGGAAAGGGGAGTCAACCAGTGTTGATTCCACCTAATCCACGAGATCAAATTACCTTCTAATCAAACGAACATGATTTGGTGACGCAATGTAAGGCGCGTGAGAACGTGTGTAGGGAACTATGAGGTAAGACTCTGGGTAAGCGTATCCAACGGTTCACAAAGGTCAGATCCATTGATCTGATGGTCCAAAAGAAAGCAATATGTTGGCATTGGGAAAGGAAGATAGAGAGTAAAGAAGAGGGCCTCCCACGTGAGGGGCCACTTCCCAATTCTAGCATTTCTCTCTCTCTCTCTCTCTCTCTCTCTCTCTCTCTCTCTCTCTCTCTCTCTCTCTCTCTCTCTCTCTCTCTCTCTCTCTCTCTCTCTCTCTCTCTCTCTCTCGCTATCATGTCTCTCCCTCTTCAAACAAGTTAACAACACTCAACCTCAAAAAAATAAAATGGATTGAAAGCACATAAAAGGCATGAACACGGTGCGTTTATGGATGAACACTATGATAGTGTTCATCAACCTTTTCCAAAAAATCTTGATATTTCCTTAATCAGAAAAATACCAACATAACCTTAGCTTCAAAACACCTATTAAACACAAATCAAAGGTAAAAAAAATCTAAAAAACTACTCTGCGTCCGGGTCATACTCATTTCCAACAATCCTAAAACCCCCAATTTATTCACAATATGTTAGATTACAGAGAAATTAGACATTAAGTGCGCGTCAACAGTAAATAAACAACAAGAAGAGCATGAAAAATGAGGAAAAAGAGGAAGAGAACTACCTTGTCAGAGCTTTGCAACTCCGACGAGGTTATGACTATACCAATCTTAGGTACCTTTTTAGTCTTTTCCTTCTTTATTTTCTGAGCTCCTTCCTTCGCCTCTTTCTTTATCTTCCACTTCTCTCTATGGGTGCTTTGGTGACATGTGAGGTTTGAGCTCAAAAGCTCGACTCGTCTAAACTTCAATGAGAAGTTTGGAGAACTTTTTTTGGTGAGCTTTGGGGTAAAAGTTTTGAGAGATTTTTTTGCAGAGTGAGATTAAGAATAATTCTTTTTGAATTTGAGTGAGTGTGAAGGTCAATTTATAGGAGTGAGAGTGGTGAAATATGAAGGGAAAATGGGTTGGTAGAGTGGAGTGATTTGGAGGGAAATTATGAGTGATCCATGTAAACAAAGTTCAATAAAGGGTGATGATTTATACAAAGGGTAATTCTATTTTGATGAGTTTCACTTGCGTTTGTTGAAATTTTTATGTAACTAAACTGAAATATGGTTTTGTTGGGATTCAAATGAAATGTACTGAAATGTGATTTGCTTGTGGTATGGGATGCGTGAGTCTTATGGTCCCCAAATGTTCTATGTATATATGTGGATATGTATTGATGACTAATTCTCCTTGTTGTTTTTCATGTGGCTTTGATGGTGAATGAATCATGATGGATGATGACCGCATGGATGATGATGAAGCACAAAGAACTAGTAAAAGCTGAAGTTGCAAACGCTGATATTTTCCTTTTTGTTTTATTTTTTGTATTATTATTATTATTATTATTATTATTATTATTATTATTATTATTATTATTATTATTATTATTATTATTATTATTATTATTATTATTATTATTATTATTATTATTATTATTATTATTATTATTATTATTATTATTATTATTATTATTATTATTATTATTATTATTATTATTATTATTATTATTATTATTATTATTATTATAATATAAAGTATAACACTGGTGTAAATAAAAAATAAACTTTATTTTAATTCAATCTCTTTTCTTATTTTGTGTTACTTATATTTTTAGGTATAAGGATGTGGCATGTTATAAAGAGTGATTGAATGGTATGATAAAGCATGTGTTAAAGTGGTGTTTTTAAATTAATGCATAAAATATTCTAATTTAATTAACCCTTTTTGATGGTAAAATGTTTTACTTTTATTTTGAACTTCAATTAATAAAAGGACAAATGATTTAAAATGCAATAAAATTAACAAAAAAAATTAAGTCAAAATTAAAATAAAAGAAAAGGCTAAAAAATAAAATGTAAATGTCATCTAAATAAAGAAAAGTCAAGAGTCAAAACATTGACTTAAATATTTCTTCAAATGCAAAATAGTGAATAATAAATGATGCAGATGAAAACTATTACAATGTGAAGGAGATGCAAAAACTTTAATCAAGATCAATACGTCAAACCTCTGACCTCTGACTTTATTGTATGCAGATGAATGATTTATAAACTAATGAAAATTCTTGATCAGATACAATGGTCAGATGAAAGGAAACTAAACAGTAAATGCAATGCAATTTTAAGATAGGATAAAATTTGGGTATGAAAATGACAATCTTTTTGTGATAATTTTTGTGTTTGTAATTACCATTTACCCTCATGTCTATATCGAACAAAAGGAATAGACCGTGTCACCTTTGTCTAGGTCAATATTTGGCCTTTAGACATATATCATGTTGTGTAAGATGCACAAATTTCATCTAGGTCACTCATGTCGTTCAACATGATTTGTGGGATACCTATCAACCATTTTGATGATCATCCTATTAAGGACCACGTTTGATAGCCAATAAAGTACTCAACTCCACATTAGGGTTCATAATGGTTTTAGGTCGGAGGGTAGTGCATACCATTATCACCTTGAAAATAAATTATGAAACTTGCATAACATTGTATATAGTATTCTCATGGTGGGTTAATCTAGTATAAATATTACTCCTAACATTGACATTCATACATACGTGAAGAGCTGATAACTCTTTATTCATTATCCATGAGATGTGATCATCATCCTATCCACATTATTAACATCTCATCTCATTATTAAGTCAGATTTAATGTTTTATTAAATAAACTAACTATTCTAGAGACTTTATTATTTTGAAAAAACAAACATAATAAAAAAAATTTATTATTAATAAATATTTAAATACAAGTATCAAAAGTATTGACCTCTAAAACTTACAAAAACAATACGATCAAAAACTTCTGCATTTATAAAAAGTGATACTCTTTAAAATGATTCAATATTCAACAACGGATGGATAAATATGCTAGTTGTTATAAGACTTTTCTACTAGTTCAACAACGGAAGCATATGTCCCAAATATTCCCATTACTATAGAAACTAACATTATTACCACTATTACCATTGTCTCAAACCCCAATTTTCTGTAAGTGCCTGAAATCTTCAAGTAACACAAACAAGGTAGCAAAATACAAACCGTGACAGTTAAAAATGCTCCAATCAATGACATGAGAGATCCAAAAAATGGAAGAGTCCATGTAACAATCACCATACTAATTAGAAGAATAGTACTCAAAAAGATGTTGGCCATTTTATTATTCTTGTATGTCCTTGGAAGTAAATCTTTTAAAGCATTTGTAATTGGTAATATCATCAGAGAAAACTTAGACATTGGAGTCACCAAGGTTGTGTATATTGCTATTCTTGAACTTATTTTGTCCAATGGTAAGTTTAATGTTACTTGCGATTCAAGTTTTGAACCAAACATTAAATAACCAATTATAGCCATTGATGCAAAAATAATCGTTGCTAACATATAACATATATATAGGACCTGCAATATAAATGAAAAAACATAAATATTTTTTTTCATAATCGGGTAAGAGATAAATAACAACAATACATATAATAAATATATTTTTATTCATTATAAACTTTTGATAGTGTTGACAAATAATTATGAAATATTTAAATATAATTAAAAAACAAAAAGTAAAAGCACTTACATATGAAAAATGACGTTTGTTCTTCATGGAAGTGTAAAGAACTGGAAAAATGGGATGTGCACTATAGCAAAATGTATACAAGCCAACAGCTGTAGGGATACCATTCCAATTAACTAAATCACCCTTTTGATGAAAACCAACTCCATCAAATGTTGCCGTCCATGATATTGACAAAATGATAATAACAGAAGCAAAGACACCACTTGCAGATACATAAGAAATCAAACTCAGATTTTCCAAACAAATCGTCGGCAAAATAATTAGTGAAACCAATATCACAAAGAATTGCTTTGCACCAATTGATATACCGGCCACTTGAAACTCTTGAATAGAAAATAAGTTACTCAAATTGTCTCCTTCTAGAATCAAGAAACCTATTGAAACCAAGTAGATCTCAGTATACATTGATATTTCCACTATTAATTTTCCTGTTTTTCCAAATGCACGTTCACCCATGTCCGGAAATGTTTTAATGCTGGAATCTTTTTCCATGCATCTTTTTATTAATAGACAAGTGTAGAATGCTACCGTGGCAATAGAAAATAAAAGTACCAAACTTAACCACCCTCCTGAGGCTAAAGCATATGGAACCGATAGTATTCCAACACCTGAAAATTCAATATCATAAAAAGTTTCAAAATCAGCTTATACTAAACCAAAACTAGACATTATATAAAGTTGGTTAATCACGTAATTTTATATCAATATTATTTAATTTAAAAATTTAAAAAAAAAAAAAATTAAATTTTTTTTTTTATATATTTTACTGTTCACCGTAGTGTAGGTGTAAGATTTGATGTAAGAATAATATTTTTCGTTTATACAAATATTATATTTTTTTTATTACACTATATTTATTAAATATCTGATGTATCTAATTAAAAAATAAAAATTATATTAAACAATGAAGAAAATATATAATTAGGATTATAAAGTAAGACCTGCAATGGAATTGAGTCCATTGATACATGTTCGAATAAAAGATACTCCATTTTTATTTGGAGCATCTGAGAATATGAGGTTCTCCTCATCGTCTAGATTCTTCTCGGATAGTAAAGGAAAATTTAAGGTGGTGTCGACAGAAGTTGCAGCCATCTTTGATATCTATCAGAAGAGATGGAAATCAATTAAGGCACAAATGAGATATATATAGTTGGGTAAATGCTGTAGCAGTTGACTGAACTTTAAGGATCAATGATTGTGAAGTAGAATATAGTTTTATAATCAATCACATATCTCTCTCACTTTTAATAATGAATAATGGTACATACTTCATTTTAAATGCACTCGTTTTCTAGCTGGCTAAATAGTAAATGCGCAAAAAAAGATCTTCTGAATATGCCATAGACTACCTTGTCAGCACTCCTGCAAATAGAAAAAATTTCGATTACATATTATTTTCAAATGTCTATATTAAATAATTTCCATGGCATCTTTTGTAAACTATAATGGTTCTATTTGAATTTTCATATTTAATAACATTCATTTCACACTTTCATTTCACACTTTCGAAATACATAGCTAAATAATTATTCATCTGATTGTAGATTTCTATGGTGATGATTAATAAATATGATTTGTCAAAGAAGAAAAAATTACACTTTCTCTTAGAAGAAAAAGATATTTTGATGAATGAAAAAGGAAGATGAAATTGAGGGCTGATGAGACCATGGTTGTCAGATTGAATTGTCCAGAAAATGAAATTCATTTTGCCTCCAAATAGTGATTGTGGAAAGGATGAGATGATTGAGATTGGTGATAAAGGAATGATTGTTAGTTATTTGTATAGCAATTTGGAATATGGAGACGAGGAGGATATGGATGAGATTTGGAGGATGATTCGAAGTCTTAATGTTCAGGAAAGAGTCTTTTCTTAGCGCATTTGTTTGACTTCTTAGACATGATAGAATTTGGACTAATTATCAAAAAGTAGAAAAGGTTTGGGATGTGCGGATTGTGGGTTGTATGGTGGTGTGTGTGAAAACACGTTACATGCTTTTAGAGATTGTCAAAGGTTCGTTAGCTATGGAATAACATTAAATTTCTAGCTTTCGAGTTTAGGGGCCTTGGTAATCCTTTAATTTTCCTCTGGGTCAGGATTGAGGCGAGTCTTAGTTTGCTTTGTTCTTTCTTCTTTGCTCTGTTTTGTTTCTTGTGGTCTGCTGTGTTTTCCGTTGATTTTGGTGCTTGCGTTCATGATGGAACGAGAAAGGGTAGGCAGGAAAGATAGAAAGGGATTTAGTGGAGGATTTTCAGTGTGGAAGGAGAACAACGATAAAAGAGCAACATCTGGGGAGCCTACGACTTCTTTTTTCATAACTGAGTTCCCAGAGAAGATGAACGCCAAAGATCTGCTTGAGGTGTTTAAGGTTCATGGAGTTATATCAGAAGTTTTCATATCAGCAAGGCGAGACAAACGTGGAAAAAGATTTGGTTTTGCTAAGTTTAGGAAAGTTCATGATTCCCAAATCCTGGCTTGTAATCTTGATAGTATCATCCTGGAAGACAATAAGTTGTTTATTAATATTCCCAGATTTAGTATGGAGAATAAGAGGTCTTATCCGGTTAGAGAGAATTCGAAGAAGAAGATCAGCCATATTGGACGCAATAGAAGTTATGAGAATTATAAAAACTTTGATAGATCATTTGCAAATCTGGTAAGTAGAGATGTTCCTAGGGACAAAGGGAAGGTCATGGGCGGTGGCTTCTGTGCATCTTTAGAGGTGGATGATGACTGGATGGAGGGGCTTAAACGTCTGAGAGTGGGCGTGGTGATGAAGGATGGAAACGCTTTTAACATTCAGAGGAACATTAATGAAGAAGGTTTTTTCAACATTTAGGTTACTCCCCTCGAAGCTTCTATGTGCTTATTGGAAGATATTTCAGGTGGAGACATTGAAGAATTTGTAAAGGAATCCAGAGATTGGCTATAAGTATGGTTTAGAGAAATCCGTCAATGGTCACCGGAGGTGATTGATAGAGATAGGTTTGTGTGGGTGAAGTATTACGGTTTACCTTGTTTTTCTTGAAGTGATAATAATTATCGATCGATTTCTTCAAATCTGGGTACGTTTATTAAGTGTGGTGAAAATACTAGGAGTAAGGTTTGTCTTGACGTCGCAAGATTGTTGATCATAACTAATCTGGGGGCTATTATGAATAAGAAGGTTGGTGTTGAAGTGAATAGCCACATATACACTATATCCATTACAGAAGATTTCTCGTGTTGGCGTGATGCCTCATTGTTTGAAGATGAAGACGATGTGATTGGTTCAGAAGATTTTGAATCATCATTACTGTCAGATTTTGAAGGCGCGTGGGAAGCCTCTGAAGAGGAAGAGAGTGAGGACTCCAATTTTTTGAATGTTGAGCCGACTGAGAGAGTTTCTTCCCAAAAAGAACAAGGGTCAAGCGGCGGTTGTACCTTTTCTAACAATGTGATAATTGTTGGTGAAAGTTTAGGGATAGGTGCAGCAGGTGGTGGGTCCATAGGGAGTATTGGTAAGAATCAAATTGAGTCTAGTAAGGAACCAACAGAAGGTGACACTGGTGATAACTTTTTGTTCAGAACTATAAGTGATAAAGTAGACAAGTAAGATGGCTTCAATTCAGCTAAATACATGGTTGGATTAAAACCTAACTAGGTTAATGATGTTACTATTAATAACATTTTAAATGGTGATTTAGTTGTGGACTTGGGGCTTCCTAATCCTATTTCTGGGCCCCTATGAGGTTTAGTTGGGCCAGTAAATAAAGGAAAATCCAAAAAGAAAAAACCCCTTCACGAGGTTTACAATTGTATCAATATTCCTTACACCCCATCCTATTTTTCCACACTATTACACTCGGCATTGAAGGAGCATGAAACTTCCCCTATCAGGGATTTTGATAGGGAGGCAATTAAGAAGAAAACTATTAGAAGTGTCCCTTATGAGTCAAGTTCATCCCTTTTGTGTTGCGAATCTATTACTGTACCGATGTGGAAAGAGGCAATTTGAGATGCCGTAGGGTCCTTGAAGAAGTTCCATCCAAGGTGAGAAAATATTTGAAGAAGTTAGGTGTTCAAGGAGGTGATGATGAAGAAGGTCTAGATCGTATTCTAAGGAAATTGGATAGAGATTATAAGGAATCCAGATCAGGTAAGTAGGTTGTAGCTATCTGCGGTCCATGAATATTATCTCCTTCAATGTTCGTGGGTGCTGCAGTTCTCTGAAGAGGAGAATTTCTCAAACTCTTTTAAGAGGTAATGCATATATTTGTCTTCAGGAAATGAAAATAACTTAGATGGATTTCGTTCTAGTTAATAGTCTGTGGAGGAATTACGATGTGGAGTGGTTGGCATTGAACTCTTCTGGTAGATCTGGTGGCATCCTTACAAAGTGGAATTGTAAAAATATTACATCTTGCTCTAGCTTCCGTGGCAAAGGCTTCTTGGGTATGCAATTCATGTGGAAAAATCATAGCCTGATAGTGGTCAATGTGTATTCTCCTTGTGGTTCTGCTGATAAAAAGAGATTGTTCAGGGATTTGGTTGAAGTTAAGGGAAGATTTCCTGGAGGTGGTTGGATCGTGGGCGGGGATTTTAATGTTGTGAAGAATGGGGAGGAAATGAAAGGTAAAAGTGATAACATTAGTAGAGATATGAAGGATTTCAACTTATTCATCGAGGATCTGAATGTGATTGATCTTCTGGTTATTGGTAATCAGTTCACGTGGTTCAATTCTAATGGCAACAGTAGAAGTATATTGGACAGAATTATGGCTGATGACCTTGCTATTTCATTCTTATCCTTGAAGAACCACGTGGTGGGAGATAGAGATTTGTCGGATCATCTGCATGTGTGGATGAAGTCTAATTTTGTTAATTGGGGGCCTAAACCTTTTAGAACCCTCAATTGTTGGTTTTCTCATAAGGAATTCCTTCAGTTTATTAAGAAGTCGTGGAACTCATACTGTAACATTATGATCAAGAAACTTCAAGCCCTTAAAGCTGATTTGCGAAATTGGAATTATAAAGGTTTTGGATGGCTTGAGCTAAAGATAAAGGATAATATCCAAAAGTTTAACCAACTTGAGTTGTATTCTGATTCGAATTTAGGTTACCAAGCTGAAGAGATTGTTAGGGATAGTTTGAGAATCTAGGAGGAGATGTGGAAGAATCTGAGGTTAAAAGAAAGTATGTTGGCTCAGAAATCCCGGGTGAGATGGCTCCAAGATGGGGATGTCAACACAAAATTCTTCCATAATTCCCTAAACTCGAGGTATCGTTCGAACCGTCTTTCTGTTGTTATTGTGGGAGGTAACCTTATGGAAGACCCTGAGGTAATTAAATCCGAAGCCTTGAAGTTCTTTAAGGAAAGATACCAGAATCAAAACTTGTTCAAGTTTAGGAGTGACTTTGTCTTGGTAGCTTGCCTTGAAGAGGCTGATAAAATATTCCTTGAAGCTGAGTTTGGTGCTGCAGATGTGAAAGAGGAAGTGTTCAGTTGCGACCACAACAAGTTCCCGGGAGTTGATGAATTTAATTTCAAGTTTATCAAATCTTGTTGGGATATCATTGGAGAGGATTTTTCGAACTGCATTTTGGAATTCTTCAAAATCGGTTTCCTTCCAAAGATGTTTGCGCCATCCTTCATTTTGTTGGTTCCGAAGGTTAACAACCCTTAACATTTTGAAGAATTCAGGCCTATAAGCTTAGTCAGTTATGTCCTCAAGGCAATTTTTAAGTTGCTTGCATGTATACTGGGTAAGATTATTCACAAACTTATCTCCCCTTCTCAAACTGCTTTCATTCTGGGGCGGAAGATTTTAGATGGTGTTCTTTTGTCTAGTGAAATAGTAGATTATGCTAAAAGGTATAAGAAGGATTGCCTGTTCTTTAAAGTTGATTTTGCTAAGGCGTATGACTGCGTGGATTAGTCTTATCTTGAAGATTTTCTTATTAAGATGGGCTTTGGTAACAATTGATTAAAATGGATTTGTGGTTCTGTGTTCAATAGCTACGTGTCGATCTTAATCAACGGAAGCCCTACGAAAGATTTCAAGGTTGGAAGGGTATTGAAGCAGGGTGACCCTCTAGCCCCGTTTTTGTTTGG